ATATTCTCATTTCCAACAAAATTATTGCTGTATGGATCTTCCTGCCATATATACCTGATGCATTTAATTGATTTGTTTCCTATCTCTTTTTTTACTTGCCTTACTGAACACCTTGTCCTTTGCTAGACTCAACACTCTTTTTCCCTCCCTCTCTCCTTCAAAATTTCACCTTGTACTAACTAGATTGCATGTTTATACAATGAAAATACAAAGAAAATACAAATGCATGAAAATACAAAGGTCGATTCGGGGTCAGAAGCAAAAAATAAGATATAGTAGCTCAATTATAGCTATCTGAATAAAATGATTTTCTGTCCTTCCGGACTCAAAACAACGGATCAGTTTTATATAGAATTCGTGGGTGGATAATGCCATTTTGACCGGAAAACTCTCATCAGAAAAAGGGAGACATGTTTTTTGGACATGCGGTATGCAATACATGTCTGGCTAGTGTCTATGTATCCTTGGCCCCTAAATTCAAGAATTACTTCGGTTTATCTCGATCATGCATCAATTTCCAGAAAATCAAATTTTCCTTGGAAAATTCATTTTTGAATTATCCCAATTTGCCTGGAAAATGGCATAGACAGGGACAAACCGAGGTCATACTTGGACACAGGGCTGAATATTACACGAGAATTCGCTAATGAAGCATTCATTTTTTTTTTCGGTGTATACTTGTGTAATCTTTCATATTCAACAGCGGACCAGTTTTGCGTCATTTTCAAACTTCCTGCGCGAAGAAGTATATCCTGAATTAAGAAGTCCTTTGGAACAAGGGTGTGTGCTCAAAAAGGTAGTTCCGCGGAAATCGCATTTGAAAGTTCAGAAGTGCATAGCGTTGGTACTAGCCAATATCTTCGCACGAAATTTAATTAGTTTGAAAGAACAAGTCTTTGAGAGTATACTTGCAAAAACGGAACATTGTGACTACATTCCCCTATGATCCCTACAAGATAACGTGGATCGTTGTGTAAAAAGAGTGGGGGGGCACGACATTTTAATACACTATGTATATTTCCTGAAACTAGGAAGAATCCAGTTTCAGAAAACGCGTTCTCCCGAAAAAGGGCGGATGCGCGCGTACGCCTTTGTCCCACAGAACTCCACGTAACCTGCCGGCACGGCGGTGTCTGGAAGAAAAAAATCAGTTGCACCTCATGAAATTTTAGCTCCATTTTCGAGTGACCGCGGTGTTGCGCTGTCTATTATGGGTTTGCACCTATAGATGCTTGTCTGAGGGATATTTTCTTGAAAAAGTAGCAGATTTGTCAATTGTTCATGTGCCTCCGTTTTCCTCGTTGGCATGAGATGAGATAGGTCCAGTCAGCACCCGATATCTCCGAAACGCGCCACGCCGCGCTGCGCCTCGTCGCACAGTTTACATTTGATTTGGAGCGGTCTATGCGTGAAACTAAATTCGGCGATAGTACATGCGGTGGAACACTTCGCACTGCGAGAATTGGAAAAAATATTGGATGAAACCGAGAATGGCGATTGTGATGGAGATGGATGCCCAAACGACCGGTGTGAAACTTTTGAAAATCACCAACCCTTGCGACATGTACCTGCTGTGTGGGGTGGCTATACACAGAGCGCCCGTATCGACCGTGACGGAGAAATCGAGCTCGGAGTACTCGGTCCCTTCTAAAACGATCCCGCTTTGAAAGGAAATCAAATCGAAGCCGAATTTCTGACCGTCTTCTATCTCGAAAAAAAATTCCACGCCGTCATCTTCCGGGTTGTTCGCAAGTTGTACCGTGCAGTTAAAAGAGCGCGCTAGGTTAGCCAGAACGATTTCCTGGAATATGTACCAACTGCTCCACGTGGGACGAGCTGAAACTTTCAGAGGTTTACTCTGAGAAAAGTCTGCTAAAACCTTCAGTGGCTTTTTGTGCATGTTCTTCCAGGAAAATTCGAAAAAAGCGTCATCAGTCTGGGCCCGGTTTTGATAAGAGATGAGGTTTTCCGTGAAAGGATCGTATCTCGTGCACCCGTCCGGGAGGCAAATGATGGCTTTGTGGCCTTTGAAAAACCGCCAAAAAAATTTGAAACAGAACATCAGAGTGACAGATACATCAGTCTCATGATTTTTTAGCGTCATGTTGCGAAGAGTTCCCGGAATGGACCCAACATTTTTCAAAAGGAAAATTACGTGGTTTTTGGAATTCCAAATTTTGTTGAAATACAACCCACGCGTTGCATTGAAAACTGAATCGCTCAGAATTGAGTGGTTTTCCAGTTCGCTAGATGTAATTCGTATCTCTTCAGTACACGATTTTCTTTCTGCTGACCAGAGAACGCGCCCATCAAATTGTATGCAGTAATGAGGTAATGCTCTCTTTAACGGGCACTCATGGAGATCGGGACTTTCAAGCGATTCGTTATAATCTTTGATGGACGGTGAAATTGTGTAGAAAATCAAATCGAATAACTCACCAATATCATCGACCGAAAATATCATATTTTTGCTGTGCTCAGTAAGTACCGAACCACTGATTTCACTCTGATGAGATATTGAGATGGTCTGAATTGAGATATCATGAAAACTTTGAGGGATTTGCTCTAAAGACGGGTCCGAATCGATTTTCACGATGTAGAATAACCGTAGCTCGGTTCTGTCCGCTATCTCTCGACATAAATTAAACACTAATGATGTTGCGGACTCCCACCTGTACTCCATTAAAATTTGTTTTTCGAAATCGAAAATGCCATGGACTCCGAAAGTATTAAGATGAATGAATATGAAAATTAAGAGAAATAACTTGCCCATTGTTGATAGAAAACAAAATAGAGAAACTCGACGGATCAGATCGATATGATTCACTTAATTTACAAGGAACACTGTATGTAACATATGCTGATATAATAAAACCCTACTGATTTTTATGAGAAATCATTCAAAACTTTCTCGTCCTTCCAACTTCAGGTCAAGTCTAAGCAGTTTGTTCCAGTCGTTCAAAAACAAGGAACTGAAATATAAAAATCTATTTACTTTTCATGACCTTGAGTTATCGGCTTCACTGGTGAAAAACAGGAAAATCACTACCACTATATTTTCATCCACATCAGTTTAGGTGACCTTGCAGAATTTATGGCTCGTGCAGTTACTTGAAAGTACTTGAATATGAGTAGGTACCAAGGTTTTTTCAACATTTTTTTTTTTTTTTTCGTTTTTTAAAACACTAAAAGTTTGAAGAATCGACAAAATATCACCAATCAAATTAAGGATCGACTGCACCAGGCTGTCAATAAAAAAACTGGGCAAATCTATCGGCAGAAATCCTTAGCTTGGACTCGGAAGGACGACTAAAAACAGTATGACAAGCGCGTCCCTGTAATACCGAGGTGCCTTCAATTTTCTAATACGCAACATAGCTAGCTTTGAAGTATTTTTTGCTCCCCTGCCGGGCGTTGTCGATAAGAGCGTCACACTTGTCAACGCACGAATGTCATATCTGAATACAAACACTAATGATGACGGATGAAATTTGATTTCCAAAAGCCCTCGGCATAGATGAAAAGTAAATCTGAGAAGAGCCTCCTCTTCATGTTTGTATTTTTTTCTGCGGACTTGAACTCCAGAGTCTTAAAACCCTAAACTGGTTGAACTCACTGGACGCGAGGAACAAGAACCAAAAAATTGTAAAATATTGATACCACTACTGCCTTACTAAGGAAGAGCACCGTATGATCATTTGAGAGTTGCCTAATTTCTCCGGATAATACATGTATTATTAAGAAAAGTCATTCGTATTTTTCCTTGAAATTTTCAGATATTTTAGATGAAGAAGCAAACGAAAATTTGTAAAAGAAAATTCAGGGAAAATATTAAAATTTGAAGGAAAATATTAACATTTTCCGAGTAAAGTCGCATTGGCATGAAACGTAAGAAAGAAATGAAAGATTGGAAATTTCAGTGAAATATCTCATTAAATTTCACGTGGCTGTGAAATATTTCATATTTTTAAGGGAGGCTACAGAATGCAACCGGGCAACCCGCACTCAAACACACAAAATAGCAGAAAGTCACAATTACATTTTGCAAAACATGAAAAGGAACCGATACTTTTCAATATCTTTCATTTCTGAAATATTTGACGTGAAATTTCAAGATTTCATTTTTCATGAAATTTTGCCACCCTGTACAAGAGCCGGAAAATTTGAAAATATGTATTGACAAAAGTGGTAGGAGTTCGATTTTAGTGAGCACTTGACATGGCAAAAAAGTAATACTGCGTGGCATTTTGCCTTTCTTATTCATATGTGTTCGGAAAAAAGCTCTTAGAGCCCTAAGGGCTTCCCCCCCCCTCCTCGGTACCTACATTTTTCAGCCCCGATGCGCCCCTGAACAAGATGAAAGGAACTGTATCAGACAGAGACACAGACTTTTATCAGATTTCATGAGTTGAAATAATTTCTCGCATTTTTTTGTGATATTTCAAGATATCATGAAACTCTAGACATCGTATAGGTAAACTCACTTTGGGGAAAAAATATCACTGAGCAAACTTCAGAATCTGTCTTTTAATTCCTGGTTGTTTTCAGCAAAACTACGTTGCAGCTTGTAGCATACTGCACACTTTTTCTAACACTTTATTGGTATTATGAACACTTTTCTCGATAAAATTTAAATTTTTTAAAAAATTGTATTTTTTTTTTATTTTAAAATGTAATTTGAATCGACAAAAGGGTTTTTTTTTTTTAAGCAAGTTACACTGAGCCCCTGAAAATCCCATCAAGTCATCATGAGACTAGCTTTGAAAAAAAAAAAAAAAAATTCTGAGATTTCATTTTTCATCTCTGGTAGCGATGGAAACCTCTATAAAATGATATGATGAAAATATCTCTATAACATATGATGAAAATATTCGATCGGGTGTATATCGAATGGAGATTTTTCGTAGCATGGCGCCTTCAAAAGCGGCAATGGCAACCATACATACGCGACACGATCGTCAGGCGCGCTCTGTGAGAATAGTCAGAAACTACAATTACAAACTGAAAGTTTTGTTTACATGAGCGACAGTTTTGCCTTTTCGGTGATTATCTAACGAGTTTTTCCTCACAGTGTTTTGGTGTTTTTTATTTCTCGTCTTTATTGATAATCTGTTCATCTTTCCGTTAAATTTGTTTCTTTCTCCATCATGAATGACGATTATGATGATGACAAGAACTGGGATGGAGACAACGATGCAATGGATGCGGAGGTTAGAGTTCTCTATTTTCTAATCCAGTCTCTTTCAAATTATAATATATTAAGAACCAGTAGAATTGTTGCATTGATAATCGCAAATTTCAGTCATTTTTCATTAATAAACTGAGCCCCTTATGCTACTCCTCTTATTTGATTCTCTCAGGAGAGCTACAATATGACAGTTGTCTTATCAACGGTAGCAATTACAAACAAACAACTAGTGTGCCCACCTAATTCATATAGTCCTCATATTTCACAGGGAGCCACAGTGCAGGAAACACAAGAAAAGTAGGGAGGATTTTGTCAGTAAAAGGCTTGTGTGGACTTAGCACTACTATCTCTTCCGGTGGCCACAGGTGAAGGTGATTCGTCAAGGTTTCTGACATCGGAACTGGCATGCAATATTTTGCATCAATTTCGTCAAGAATCTCTGCAGATTTTAAATTTTTAACCAGGAAAAGGATGGTACCCCATGCGCATGAATCTACAGAATCGTTCTTGGTGTACCAAAATTGGCAAAATTCAAAGAAATGGAGGCAGAATCCTGTTTGGAAAAAAAACTTCGCACTCGATACAGCATTCGATATCTGTATCGAATGTGAGATTTTCTTCCCAGCAGGACCCCGACATCGTTTCTCTGAGTTTTGCTAATTTTTTGGTCCAGATTGATTCTTGGGCTCATGCACAGGGGCTATTGTCCTTTCTTTGGCTAACAATTCATAATCTGCCAAGATTTTTGACCTGATCGAGGGTATAGATCACACTCCACTTTTTTATATTTTTTGTTTAAAATGGAAGTGAAAATCTGCTTTCTCCCGCACTGGATTGAGGGGGAACCGAAGTGCCCCCAGATCCGGCGGGCCCCAGGGGGGTTTTTCAGGCCCACTCCCAGGAACCAGATACCAATCGCGGCCCAGACAGAGTGGAACGTCCCGGGTCTTGCAACCCAAAGACCTCAGCCCTCCACACTCCACTTTAACCGCGCCAGAAAGCGCGATGAATTACATTCAGCTCCAACGCATTTAGGACAAACAGATTGCGGTTCGAGACACGAATAATTCAGATAGAGTACGTAGGCAATCTTGCAATGTACGCCATAAATTCAGCGTAAAAGTGAAATTAGGGGAAATTATTGATATCGACGGTGTCAGTCGGCAGTCACATGTCTCGTTTGCGGTGTCTGAAAATCTCCACTTCTATGTTATTTGTTTAAAGGAGAACAAATTGACATCATTCCTTGAAGTTTTTGCAGAATTTTCTTTGCACAGAGAAGAATATTCACGACAGTTACCTACGAGGAATTGCTGTTGAGTAGTTTTCCGTTTAAAAAATAAAATATGACAGGAAGTCTGCGATGTCGCAAATGGAGTTACGTGATTGCCAACTTGCACCGTCGACATATAATTATATATCATTATAGGGGGAATCAGCTCATCTGAGCATGATAATCCCTGTACTTTACTATCATACGATACTTTTTTCTTGTTGTCCATTATCTATTTGGCTTATGGAGATTTTTTGTTTTTCAGTCTGATGCGGGCGATGAAGGTATGGAAAATCCGCAGGAAGTGCTGAAAGAGTGTCTGGAGAAGTTCAGCACGCCAGATTATATAATGGAGCCCGGGATTTTTTCGCAATTGAAAAAGTGAGTTTTTCAAAGGAAAAATAATTTAATTCACATGTTATTCCATAATACCTAACTGGAATAGTAGTACGATTAAATTTAGTGTTCAGCACCTTCGGGTGTGTGGTATAAAATAATAAACCTATCATTGAAAATCACTATTATTTTTGACCTTCATTAGATTCATGCAAAAGAAGGAGAAAAGAAATTATTATCATTAAGACTTTTAAACGAGCCTCTAAACAGGGTGAGAACCTTTAACACCACAGAATAAATCTTCTCGTCAAAATTATATGCAGAAGAAATTACATGCACTGGAAATACAAAAATCAAAATATGAGAGAGAAATTAGTTTTTTTATTTATTTCTTTCATTTAATTTCCATGAGCTCTCTCAGCAGGTAACAATATTATGCTGTTTCAGTTTTAAGATAGACTAAAAAAACATAAGATCACAAAGAATTCCCGACTGTCATCAGATTTTTTTTTATCAAACTTTGGAATTTTTTTAAACTTTTGAAGTGGATGCCTTTTTTAAATGTTTAATTATTATTATGTATCCCTTGTTTGTTTGAGTTCTCTACTTTTTACTAAATATTTTCTCATTATTTTCCAGAGCTATATAGTGAGTGAGTCTGCATTTGCCAGGCAGCCTGTCAAGTAGTAATACATGAGGGTCGTTCAAAATTAAAACATTTCACTCAAAGTTTTCAATGGCTTCACACTCCTCCTTTTCCATTATTTAATACTATTGGTATTTTTTTTTTCAAATAGATATTTTCAGGCTGGAGGTAATCCGGAGCAAGTCATAGAATTGTTGTCTCAAAATTACAAAGCTGTCGCTCAAATGGCCAATTTAGTCGCAGAGTGGCTGATCCTCGGAGGTATTGCGATTTCCAATAAACTAATTACACACAAAATTGATTGAACTATCAGATTTCAGGGCTAAATAAGTTCATGGTGTCAAGTAAATTCATAATTTTCATCATTTAAGCCGAAATATGCATAGTTTTAAATAGTTTTCCCAAGAATTCTTTTTGTAGATTCGATTGGAGACTAAACAAGGTCTGAACTAAAAGAAAACGTCACATGTTTTCTCTTCAAAATCTAACATAAAAAATGACTCACACAACGGGAAGTACTGAAATCAACTCCTTAAGGAGACTTCAACAAGTATTTATGACATAGATCAAAAGGATGTTGGATTATACAATTCAAAAGACTTTATTTACATTTTTTCCATTAGCACTAGTGTTAATTGAAAACACATTTATATTATTCAAGAGTTGATTTTCAGACTTCTTGTTGTTTGATTAGTTTCCTTTGTGAAATTTTGAAGAGAAAATAGGAAGCATTGTGCATACCTGCCTACCTAATTTTTCTCTTAAAAGCTCACAAAATTTAAGATTTCACCATTTTTTTTGCTACCGCCACCACATAGAAGTCATTCACTTCAATCTGAGCTTGGATGTTGAAGTGTTTCCAAAGAAAATGCAAGTAGGTATGCCAGAGGAGCTTCAACATGCTGATGAAAGTTAACAATTTTCGAAATGCGAGCTCTCATGACTAATCTGTGGTAATTTTTTCGAGCATTGATTGTAAAATACATATCCTGTTGGACAGTTTTTCATTTGTATCATTGAGTCATTTTCTGTGAAATATCCAGTGAGTCTCACTTCTTTTTTTGTAATTTTCCAGGAGTTAAAGTACACGATGTGCAAGCCATGGTGGAAAATCATTTAAAAGATATGATTTTGAAGACTTTTGATCCAAAGAAAGCTGACACTATTTTCTCAGAAGAAGGAGAGGTCTGTTTGAGTTTATCCTTGCTTTGAAGTTATTGTTTAAAAATATTGCATTGTCCTACATTCTAAAATAAAAAGTATTTGATTGTTATAAAAATTACCTCAAGACAAAATTCATCACAAAGGGCACAGAAAGAATGCATTACGAAAAGAATTCCTGAACACAGGGCAGCTAAAATTTCTCAGGTTTCTTTTTTTAATTTAATTTTTAAGAGATTCTCATGGTTTTTTCAAACAAATCCTGGTTTTCTGGCGGTCTGGAAAACCTAGAAAGTCAGAGAATTTTGTAAGTAGCGTCTAGCAGAAGTCAGCATCATTAAAAAGAAAAAAATCTGAGTGGAAGTTTTGTTCGAAGGTCAGGGGAAAGCAAGAGAAAGTTAGGGAATCGGAAAGTACAGAAATAATGGAAATTCTGCAGATCATGTCTCTTATTTTTGGTGTTATCCAAAACTTTCAACATTGAATTTTTAAAAAAAAAATTGTAATTCATTACATAGAACTTGGAACCTTTCCTCTCCCGGCTGAGAAGAAAAGCCCATCGAAACAGGGGTTTTGAGATAAAAGAAGAACACAAGTGAATACTGATGAAGGCGAACAGGACAAGGAATAGAGCAGACAAGCGATGTCGGAACAAACTCAACAAACGAATAAAAACACAAAATAAAGAAAGCTAAGTTGACGGGTTTAGCCCCCCCGTCAGGGCAGACTGAATTTGACTTACATTTTTTAAAAAGGAAAGGGAATCTGCCGTAAAATCGAAAAAACCGAACAGCAGCACGTACTCTGAGGTCAAAGAACAAAATCAAAGCGAAGAGTGGGGAGCCGAGTAGTGCTAAGAGCCGCCACGCGACCACTAGCGCTACTTGGCAGGCTAAAATTTTGAAAAGTGAAGGGGTAGGGGGGACACCCCGGCACAAACTCAAACATTATCCCTATGTCATGGACTAAGGCATTCGGAGGAGATTAATTCTTCAGATTAAGAATCTGCATTGTTAAGGATCTTGGAAAAATTCAACTTCAGCACTGTTAATGGCCTCTTTTGCTAATGGTTGATTCTCATATTTTTATTCAGAATTAAAAATAATCGTGCTTTTCATTTTCCTTTTCAGACGCCTGCTTGGTTAACAGAAATGATCGAGCACAAAACCTGGCGCTCTTTAATTTACCGCCTTGCAGAAGAGTATCCCGACTGTCTGATGTTAAACTTCACCATCAAACTAATATCTGATGCTGGTTTTCAAGGTGAGATCACGAGCATCTCCACCGCCGCTCAGCAGATTGAAGTTTTTTCGCGAGTGCTCAAAACATCCATTTCCGGATTTCTCCAAGCAACTGAAGACTGGCAGAGCAGTGTCGAGGAGTGCGCTAAAATGGTGTGTCATGGTCAACACACTTTTGTGTACAGTTTAGTCTTACTCCAAGTCCTGTCACAGGAGCCGAAAGGGGGCTTTAATATGAAAAGATTAGCCCAGGAAATCACGAAGTGCGCCCAAAATAAGTAAGAAAGGTTTTTGTATGTTTTCTTAGATTAGATTAGATACATATCGTGGGGGACAAACCCCTAAACACGAAAACTCAAAGGAGTTTATGTTCCCATTTCACTATCATCAAACTTTCTATGCTGAAAATCATTGTAAAAAGATAAATTGCAAAGTAAAGTATTTGGTCCTGCCAATAGAGTCTGTCAATTACTTTTCCTTTTTGAAGCTCAGTATTGTTAATGTCTGCAGACTATATTCAGCTATGAATGACTGTATTAAGTATGATGGGAAGTGACCAACATCGCAAATGGAATTATGCATTCCTGTAGCTTTACCATCAATTTGTTACATAACTTTAAGCTCTAGAGAAACTTTTCATCCTCACTTTGTAGTCTTTTTTTTTTTTTTTTTAATTAAAAGTTTTCTTTCAATGGATTAATTCTGAACTTCTAATTCTTACATTTTTAATGTTCAACATTGTCCTTTTTTCAGCCACCAGGATGTCACACCAATTATCATGGCCCTAAATGGTGCAGCCTCCTATGCGCAAGCATGTTCTGCCCTTTCATCCATGTTATCCAGGAACAGTTTGAACCCAGCAGACATTCTCATGCTGTTCCGAAATTATTCCGGACAAGACCCACCTCCTGTTGAACTCATCAGAACTCCTCAGTTCTTAGGTTGGTATCTTGTTACTAACCCTCTCGGAAAAAATCAAGGGCAATGATAAAAATAAAAATGCCGCTAAAGTCTACTGTAAAAAGTACAATAATGTATATGGATATGAGATTTAGCAGCTAAATTAGCGAATTCTGAATATTTCCAAGGGAATCAAAATCAGTTCTTGACAGTGCTGATCAAAGATTGTCAGCTGTTATGTGGCCACAGTCCCAGATATGTCTGTTTATCTTTGGCTCTCAGAGGAAGTTTTATTGGAAGTAAAACAAGCAAAAAAAAGTGGTCAAACCAATGTTCTAAGCTTCAATAGTCCTTTTCGGTGTTAATGAACAATGGCCATTTTTATAAAAGTGAACCCTTCCTAATTATTCACCATGGAGTTTTTCATTTCCATTGTACCTCATACTTTAGTTTGTTTTTCATGGTTGAGATTATGCGCAGGCAAGATCGCATGTAAGTTCAACCATTGGAATTGCTTCTGGTACCAATTTCAGCAAATAATCAGGACCTTCCGTAACGATTCATTCTCATCATGGACATTGAAGGGAGTTATCAGTTTGCTTGGAGCCGAATCGATAAAATCATGATTGATTGCAAGAAATGTATCAAATCACACTCTCTTGGTGTCCTAACTCTCTCAGACCCACCAATAGGAATAAAGCGATGCCTATATTTATTAATGTATTAGAATCTTCATTTGATTCAAATTTAAAACAGTTTCCCAAAGATATAGGGTTCCACAGAATATGTAAAATCAGTTCAAAGAGACCCATAAAAACCCCAAGAGAGAATTCTAAACTATTTTCCAATTTTTTTTACAAATATTATAATTGATTTTTTTTTGTTAATTTTAGATAGGCACCTCCTCACAAAATGGCATGTTCATTCGTTTTCAATATTTTTGCTTTTTTAACTGTCTAAATTAATCTATGTGTAAGTTACTTTCCCTCCTTACAGCTTCATTCTGACAATTTTATTTTCAGAATTACTCGCAGACGCTTTATTCAAACCTGGCGTTAAACTAAACCAAGAGCATAAACCGAAGTATATTTACTTGCTTGCATACGCTGCAAGTGTAGTAGAAGTCCCTGCTAGCAAGAAAACTGGTCCACGGAAAATTATCAAAGAAGAATTAAAACCAACCATGCAAGCAGTTGAGAAAGTTCACAACATTTGCAACACAAATAAAAGCTCATCCGAGTTGATCGCAGAAATTAACACCTTGTACCACTGCATTAGGTATGTATGTATGAGTTAATCGCAGAAATTAACACCTTGTACCACTGCATTAGGTATGTTTGTCTTTAACAGAAGTTTTACTTTTGATTTTTTCCCGTTCATTGTCAGTCTCATTCAACTTGAAATATCAATGAGAGACAAAGATTCTATAGCAGCCCTTGACATTTACAACAGAAATACAATAAATATTGTGGAAACACAGAAGGCAAGGCAAAAAGACCAAAAGTAAAATCCTAAGGTTTTAGCGGACCTTTTGACCATTCTCAACTGAACAAAAAAAATGGAAAAATGTAGTAAATAAAAATAAAGTAATGAAAAAACTTGTGTTGCCAGGGATCAGAGAAATTCATTTTTGACTGAGTTAAGGAATCTGAAATTAGTTTTTCCTTTTCAAATTTAAAGGAAAAAAGAATGAAAAGCTTTGATTAGGAATTATTTTCTTTGATCCCTGGTCCCACAAGTTTTTTATTAGTTTTCATATTTTTTTATTTTTGTCCAATTGAGAATGGCCATGAGGTCAGCCAAAACATTTCGCGTTGAATCCTTTGTATTTTTGGTCTTGTTACCTGCATTTCTATTGTATTTTTTGTACTTGTGATCGTGTGTCTATTGTATTTTTCATAATTGTACCCGCATTTCTTTTGTATTTTTTGTAATTGAAAATTTTATCTAACGCTAAGAAAAAACCATCATAACAAAATCTAAGTGGAAGTTTTGGTGGAAGGTCAAGGAATTTGGAATTTTTTTCCAAGTCTGGGAAAAGCAAAATAAGTTAGGGATTAAAAAATGGAGACATCATAGAAACCCTACAAGACCATTTAAAAGATGTCATATTTTCTGTCATGTTTCATCATAGCTTAGTCTTTCACATTTCATGTTATAGATACCCAGTTGTCTCTGTCGGAGTTGTTCGGTGGGTTGAGTGTACGGTTACGGAGCCCAGCTACTTCAAACTGTGCACAGAGCATACGCCAATACATTTGGCTCTGTTGGATGAAGTTGTCAGCTGTCATTCGCTTCTTCATCACACAGTTCTGAAACTTTTCATTCAGTTATTCGAGTCAAAGCAAGATGAGCTGGAAATCCTTGTACAGGTAAAAATACTCCTGATTTTATTCCCCATGATTTATAAAATCAACATTAAGAAGCGCTTAATCAAAGAGTTTCCTTAAAAAACAGTGCGAAGTCTGATTTTCTTTCAAAATTGAGGTTTTGGAAAAGTAAACCTTAAGAGTATACGTTTCTGACAGATACATCTGCACCTAAGAGGATATTTCTGAACTACAATCAAAAGTGCCTCAACTAATGAAGGCTATCAGCTGTTTATTTTGAAAAGATGCCAAAGTATCATCAATATCATATTTATTCTTTTGCTTCAATTTTTCCATTTTGAGACAAAATTCCAGCACCTCAATAAAAAGAAAGTTAAAAGTTTTTATTGACTCTTTAGACAAGAAATTGACTCATTTTATTTTTATACAAGCTATTTCGTTCAATTTCTTGTCATACATATCAATGGCCATCGAACAATACCGCCGGCCAACCAAACGGCCGATTTTGCAGAGCGAAGATAAAACTTCTCCATTTTGTAATTTTAAGGTTAGATTTGCAATTTTTTCAAACAGTACAGTGTCATTGAAGTGCTCCCCTACAGAATTGGAAAAAAAAAACTAAAATCATCAGCTATTGTATTTTATACTAAAGAATATGGCAAAGTTGCCCACTCATTTTTGTTAAAATTGTCACTAAGGCAGCATTATTCGTTAACCATCGATAATTTAAGTTTTTTCAAATAAATTAACATCATTAATACATTTGTTTAATTTTCTCAGTTTGTAAACAAAATTCCAGCACCTAAATCTAGTTTATTTCAAATAGGTACCAACTTTGAAAATTTAAAATCTAATGTTTTAACATTTCTTTTTTTTTACGCGCAGCAAAGCCTTATTTGAGTTCAAACCTCATTTCCAGTGATGAAGCGAACATGAGATTTTCTAACAGTTTCTTGTCTTAACTTTTACAGTTGGAATTACGAAAAATGTTGCTTGATCGAATGGTTAATTTATTATGTAGAGGATGTGTTGTACCTGTCGTCAAGTATATCAAACAGTGTTGGAAAAGAGGAGACACAGATATCTCTCTTATTCGTTATTTTGTTACAGAGGTAAGTAAGGATGGACTTCAGTAATTTTCTACCCTAACGTATCTTTTATAACTGCACCTGAAAGTAATGATGTTCACGATAGCTGTAGCATAAACTATCGAAATGGTCGGATATGACTCATAGTAACAGAGACAAATAATGGAATTCTCCAAACTGAAGTAATACTAGAGAGAAAAGACTCCAATACGTCTCGGTGCAGAGAGACAGGAAAAAGTAGAGCGACAGTGGCGGGCCTGCTTTGCGATATATCGATTGTTATGCCAATTAAACCTATGGAAAAGGATCGATAAACAGGGCGTTCGCAGTGAACACCATAATAATCGACTCTTTACCATAGGTTTAAATGGCATATCAATCGATACATCGCAATTTACGCCACGCCACTGTAGAGCGATCAAATAAAACTCAACTAGTACTTAGCACTGGTTACCTTATACCTTCAAAACCAAAAAGTTTTTTTCAAAATTATTATGTCAAGCTAGAGAGATATGCCAAAGAACGGTGGAACGCGAACGCTTCAAACCAAAGTTTCTGCTGATGGGAGTGATGCTAGTGCTTGTTATTGGTTTATTACATAATTAGTTCTCTATTTAGTCTTTGGAGTGCCCATAGCCCTTAGAAAGTGCTTCTATTGCAATGAAAACGTCTCATTATTACAACAGTTACTGTGATCAGTTTGGCAGTGAAGGTTTTTACCTGTTCCTGTAGTGTGTTATCATTATGGATTTAGTTTATAGTGAAATATCAACTTAATCGGGGGAAAGACTGAGGCTGTGAAATTCAAAAGATAAATTAGAAACAAAAAGGACGATTCGATTTGATTGCAACCCTATTTTCAAGTAGACAAAATTGAGCCATCAATCTGCCAGAAGGAGCTGGTGATGAAATTTCCAACTTTCAGATAATCTTTACGTGCCTTGGTTTTTCTGCACTGGGTCAGGTCTGTTTATTTCATAATCAGATTCAGTCTTGTAATGACAGCAAATCAACAACTTAAGTTTTTGCTTTCTTCTTTTTGATTGAAAATGAGGTTGTAATTAACTCAAAACGTCCCCGTTTTTTTGCGTCTTATTTTTTGTATCTTCAGCACGTCTGCAGCCCTTCTCCAAATTAAGTTTTTATTTCACCATGTATGTTTGGCTGACTAAGTTGTTTCTTCACTTTTTAGTGTATAATATGTGTTACTCTTTGATTAACAAAATTCCAAAGATGAGAAAAAAGCCCTTCCTGAACTTTTAAAACTGCCTAAGCGTACTCAAGCCAAATAGATCCTGTTTTTTTGCCGTTTTTCACTTTCTTCTGTGCTTTTTCTTAGGTGTTAGAAGCCATTGCACCTCCATACACTCCAGAATTTGTGCAGCTGTTTCTTCCGATTGTTGAAAATGAAGAAATTACCGGTACCATGCGAGGAGAGGGTGAAAACGATACCGTTTCAGAGTTCATTGGTAGGTCTTTCAAAGTTACTTTCATTTCATGTTTCATTTATCATTTCATCCTTTTAATGCTTTTGTACAAAGATGGAATCATGATGATAGAAGCAGAGTTCTTAGATTTTTTCACTCCAAAATAGCTATCTAATAATTCTAAAAAGACTTCGTAAACAATACAAAAAAATTTGGTGCCGGCTAAACTTCAATATTTTTTGATATGATGTTTTTCACGACATCTTCAGCATGATGAGCTTTTAAAATCGAACTCCTCATGTGACAATCTGGAGAAAAGAAGGGTTGAAAAGTGATTTTTTTGCCCACTTATTCGTGCTTTGTAATGGAGTCGTGGGACTGTTACTGTGTGTGCTTGAACACTACGCTGCATGCTCTCAATGTTCTGAAGAATTAAAATCTTTTCATCTGTCTTATCTTTCCAGTCTGCAAGGGGACAAAAGATCTCTTCAATCACAAATATAATGTTGCAACATCTCTACCAGATATTATGCGTAAAAACAACATAAAAATTCACTTTTCAGTCCCGTTTTTCTCGAGAATAATTGGAGAAAGTTCGATTTTAAAGCTCATTGTGCTCAGGAGGCCACAAGGAACATCATATCAAAAAATATTCAAATTCAGACTGGGCTGAATTTCTTGATATCGTGGGCGTAGTCTTTTCTTTTTGTTTTTCTCCCCCTTCTACACACAGATTAAGATTTCAGGCTATCGCAGGATGATAAAATGTTGCTCCTCTCATGATGGAAAGTGTTTAATTATCCTGTGCATTTTTATCTTCCTAGCTTATCTCGCAATTCTGAACCACGATTAATTGCCAAACAATAACTGTTATTTTTGAGTCAATGACAAATGTTCTGGGAAATAATTTCTCTGTTGAAATTTATGATCCGAGAATGTTACAGTTGCTTCTGACATTTGAAAGACGACAATGTAAGCAAACGGAAGTGTCGTAGAAATTTTTTTGGAGGCACAAAATGTCATGAAAACTGTGATGCGAACTTGAATTCTTATGAGGTCTTGTTTTTAAATTTTTTGTCACCAAATTTTCGTGTTGAGAGAACAGATATCAACGCAATTTTTTTTTCTTTTGATATTTGTAGTTTTACTCACACTGCATGTGAGTGTGCTATTAGAGTTAACGACATTTTAGTTTTTCCTTTTTCACGTACGTCTTACACATCAGAACTTGCAGCCCCCGAGTTCAACATAGGCAAAAAGAAAAATCAAAGCTTCATAAACTTTGATAGTCAACCCCTTCAACGGCACTGTTCAACCTATTCATATTTGTAGTTATAATCGATGGCTTAATGCAGAAAAAGCTTATCTCAATTGGAGCTTTTAAAAATTTCTGATGACGTCTTATTTTTTTCGAAGAAAACTGAGCAGGATTTGTCCTTGCAATTCTGTGTTCTTTTTTTATTAGAGTAAGTGAAAAAAAATTCACAAAAAATGTTAACAGAAACTTTTGGTCAGTCAGTACAGTAAAATATGAATAGAAATTTGTGATGATGCAATTTGAGATGTGCGTTTTTTGACTTTAGTCATCGAAATGAATTTGTCTCTTGAGCATCGCTTTAGCCTATGATGTATGTTGCAATAAAGAACTCTCATGTGTGTTTTTCACTCTCTTAATTTTTATGGTAACCTTTTTGTTTTCATTTTTCAGTGCACTGTAAGCATCACTTTATGGTTGTTCATTGAGCTTATTCATTACGAACCCATTATGACACTGGATTCTCCGACAGCTGGTTAATGGAAAATTAGTGAGTATATTTTGCTATGTATTACCAAATGAACCATAATTCTTTAGGAATTGTGCTGGTGAGAAAATGACATTTTGTACCTAGAGAAAGTTTGTAAGATAATTCAAAATACTCCTGGATTAACTTCAGTGATGATTCTTGCACGTTAGCAACATCGTATACTCCCCTTTTCAAAAACTCATCATAAATATTGATTCCAGGTTAGGTAACTACCTTCTGTTAGAATCGTTTGTTTCCCATACATTTAAAATGGAGTAAAGCAGTGCTGCCAACTTTCAAAAATCATATCTGATTATCTTAATGTAATTTGTAACTAAAACTGAAACTTGACTGAGTAGCTTTCGGCGAAGAGACTCATGTTATTTCAGAGTTTCTGAACAAGGCTGTGATTAGACTTTAGATTATTCTTGTAGAATAATATTTGTAAACTAAAAATAAAATTATGTTCAGTTATAGTTTGAATTGATTTGTTTCTTTTTCATACATTTTTGCAACTTTGGAGTGATCTTGAAGTTATTATTTTGCATCGAAATGTTATGTTACCTGTACATGCAACGGTCACAGATATTTTTTTTCCTTTTGGTTTTCTATCAATTTCATTGCCAGTTTATCTTTCAAGAATCCTCCACGTAAAGACATCATAATTTTTTATTTCTTGCCAACATAGACGGATATTTAACATGATAGTTTCATCCGATATGAAAATCTTGCCCACTTTGAACTTACCAAAATTTTCCCAAAATGTTCACCAGAAATGTTTATTTTTGCGCCATCACAGTAAGCAGTGCCATTACTTATGAAATTAATTTTGTCCAAGACCTAAAAACATCAAATTTGACTGGAAGCTTCTAGTTTATGATGCCCAGCAAATTTGTAGGTGTAAAATCAATTTTTTGGTGGAGTTTGTAGGTAATGTCTGTTAGACTATGTCTGGTTAGGTGAGGTGGAACATCAGATACTTGACACGCAGCCTATGCAGCCTTGGTGCCAAAATTTTGCAGCATTCTGGATATGTCTTCTAAATCTTTTTAGTGTTTGACTATCCCTCACTTTTTTATCAACTTTAGTTTCAAGTCAATCATACTTTAGGGGCTGCAAAAGATGTAAATGTTTTAAGTGAAGCGTCGTGAATCAAAAGCTGCAATCTCTATTCGGATGTCTAAAAATTGGGAAGATGTTTTAATTTTTAAACAGGAGTAATCAATAAGACTTTATACGTAAAATACTTTCATAACATTCTTGCAAACATACACATAGAAAATTCACGAGGAAGCACGCAAATGGAAACTCACCTTCTCTCCTTATAATAAATTTTAACAATCGCCAAATTTTTCAACTTCGCAACGGAGATTGCAGGTTTTGATTCTAAGAGTCTCAAGTGTCCCGAAACGAAAATTTGAATTTTCAAATTACTATCTTCTGTTTTTGATGGTTTAATCAATCTTTATTAAAAAAAGGAAATCATACATTCTAGAAAATTCAACAACAAAACAACAACAACAGTTATCATAGGTAGAATAATTAATCAATTAAGATAATTAATCAATTACCATGATTGTTATACTTAATTTCACAAAATAAGCATCAAACAACGATCAGGACATTTGAACAATATTTTTTGATTGGACGTCATGTGCAGATTGAGATCATCGAAGCTGAAAAGAAAAGTAGCACCTACTTTTTTATCTTATGTGTTAATTGGGTAAAGTGCAAGGTCAAAAGATTTCAAAATCAACTCTCCGAATGTTTGTGAGCCTTCCGGTTCTGAAATTCATGAGACCCATGTTACCTCAAAGAGCCACATTTATAGTCGTTCCTCAAACCAGAGGCGAGGCATGAATGATCGATTATCGATATTTCTCCATTCGAAGCTATGGTAAAGAATCGATTATTGAGGTATTCGTTGCAAATATCCTCTTTATCGATCCTTTTCCATAGGTTTAATTGGCAGATCAATCAATATATCGCAAAGCATGCCACACCACTGCGCCGTAAACAGGTCCTTTCCTTAGGAAGCCCATGACAGTTTTCATTATAGTTAAGGAAAATTTAAGGAGATTCTCAACGTTGCACCATGAAAAGGACAATTCTAATGAATTTTGAGTAAAATTCAACAGAATAATTTCAAAAATAGATTCTTGCAAGGGATAGCAGGGATTTTCCCTTGAAAGAAAAAAAAATACAGAGGAAAAATCTTATTATTTACTTATTTAGACAAAATTTGAGGTAAAAACAGACCTACCTTTAAATTTTCAAAACCTGTGAAAGAATACCTTGTTTCCTCAATATTTTGAAGAGGCAAACCATTGTAATACCTCATGAATTTTTGGAGTTATATTGTTGAAGTTTACTCAGGATTCGTTGAAATTGTCCTTTTCATGTGTGATGTTAAGGATCTTCTTAAATTTCCCTTTTTTCTCTTTTCAAATGAGTTAGGCTAGTTTTAATCACCGTAAATCATTTTGGGCCTTCTAAGGAAAGAGCTGCTTAACATACAACTATAAATGCGGCTCTGTAGGCCTAGTTTGGCCAACATTTGTAGAAAATACCAGTCCGTAGCATAGCAGGAGAAAAACAGGTATGAACATATGAGCCATCTCGCCTCTGACTGGCTGGTTCGAGGTCACAGGTCTGTATGGAAGGCCTGTTTACTGGAGCACTGTCAATAAGTTGGTGAGAGGTCGCCTTACTCATAGTTAGTGTACATACTGTCTGTCAGTACCTACGAGAGACAGGAGTGTCTCTCGCAGTGTTGTTCGTGAGACTACTAAGTCACAGTTTGACGAATTTTTTCTCATGATGCTCTGCTGCAACTGCAATATTCACACCTGTTTTCCTATACATACGTAAACCAGAAGCTAAAAATCTAATAGAGAAACTTGATCCAACCTCTTAGGTTTTCTCGTCGGAAGAGTAGTCGATGAAAATTCCCATTCTTTTTTTTCTTTTTAAATGAGTTAGGCTAGTTTTACTCACATTCCTGTTAATAAAAATCTGCTGGTTTTCAGAGGGAAATAACTCTGAATTGTTGATACTTATTGTTTGTGAAACTTCGAAGCTACGTATCTCCGTTTGCGATGTTGCGGACTTCCTGTAATACTTTATTTTTTGGTAGAAAACTACTCAACATCCGTTCTTGAAACCCTCAGTGATTTTTCTACTCTGTGTTGAAGAAAATTTTAAAAAAAATTCAAGGAATGATGTTGCATTGGTCTTCCTTAATATAATAAAATGGGAGCAGAGGTTTCAAACCAACCCAAAGGAGATACAAGGTTTGGGAATTTCTTTTTTGATATCGAACATACTCTCCGAATAAGTCCTTCTTTTTCTGACTTTCTACTCTCTCCTACTTTTTCAAATTCAACTCTCATGGACAGAAAGTTTTATGTTGAAAGTTTTATGTCCCTTCATAGATGTCCCATTAGAGATGCTGCAGTACAATCTATGAATTACTGTTTAAGGAGACTGGTAATTCAACAAAAGCTGATGAAACTAGGCAGACATCTTTTACATAGCGTACTTTAATTAAAATATATTATCATAGCTGTACAGTACATAATCTGAATCAAACAAACTGAGTTATCAATATTTGCCGGCATGCATGCAGAAAATTCAAAAATACTAATTAACAATTCAGGCGCATATTTTCGAAAAACAGTTACCTCTGGATAAATGAAGATATGGAGATGCACTCATGGTGGGAATATGCGTTCATACAAGTACATTCATGAATTCTCATTCAAACGCACATGCTGATAATCACTGTTAATCATCCCTTACATGGCCAAGACAGTTTTTTCGTCTCTCTTTTTGAGATTCCTTAATTATATTAAGGAGTATGAGACAAACCGATCACCTTAGCTTTTACTTGCCTAATATTTCCAATCCCCAGAGGTATTTGTAAGTACAACCAGCCTGAGAAGCTTTAAAAAGCAATTGAAATGAACATTTTCATTATTAATAGTTATAATAAATTGTGAAAGCCGATAATTAAAACATACTTTCGAAAAATGGGCCCAAATGCTAAGTTAAGTTTTTAAACAAAGTCTTAGATTTTGCCCTGAAAAACATGAAAATTAAACTCAACTGAAAATCTAAGTCCCAAGCGGAGTAAAGGTTTTCTTTAGAGATTTCCGTCAAGATTGTTCAACTTTTTTTATTCGTTTCCTTTGCCATTTGTGGGTACCCCCATGACCTGTAATATTCCAAGTTTTGAGCATGTTTACAGCATATATGAGATCGTAGTTCGCATACTAAGAACCCAAAAAATAATTAATCAGAAGAGAGACTATATCGTAAAGTTATAATTATCCCTCAGCTGTTTTTCACGGTTTAATCTCTCATCCATTTGCTTGTTTTGGTGGTGAATCCAAAAAAACTCCCAACATGTTGGATATCATGAGAGCTTCGTCCAAGGGAACGAAGTCTCAAATTATCCTATTTTCTTACAAATATTTTATTAAGATTCAAGAGTGGTCAACTCAGATTTTTTGTTATTTGAAGCAAATACCAGCGACTTGGACGGAACTCTGAATTCCAGGACGGCCTATTATAACATCTGAAAGAATTTCTTCTCTGAGCTGGTGCAATCAAACAAGAAAGGTGAAGGAAAATAATATATACGTCCAGCGCTATATCATTTGGAAAAAGGAATCATTTTACAAACTTCATAAAAGCATCGTTAAAAATAATTATATCCAATAATTAGCAAGTACCTATTCTTAAACTCTGATTTTGGCAGGGTATTTTCCTTTTTTTGAAAGAAAAACTTGCGTTACATTATCAAACTTTTTCCTCTGCTTCCTGACTATTTTTATGAGCCTTTCAATCGTCTTCTTGCCAGTGGCGTGGCGTTCTTTGCCATATATTGATTGAGCTGCTATTGAAACCTATGAAAAAGGATTGATAAACAGGGTGTTTGCAACAAACACCTGAATAATAGATACTTTACCATAGCTTCAAATACATAAATATCGAAAATCGATCATTCATGCCTCGCCACTGTTTCTTGCCATACTTTTCAAATAGCAATGCAATAAACTCAAAGAACCACAGTGTTTCCAGATATCTTTCCTCTCATTATAACAAAATAATCCTGTTCTATCTTTTGCTCATCTTATCGATGGCTAAATTAAAAAAGTGCGTACCTCTGACACATGCGTTCCCTCTTATGTTTTTTTCCTTCCAAGAAAAACTAACCAACACTTTCTATTGAAATTTTCTCTGAGTATTAACACTCTTTAAAGAAAAAATCTCACAAAATTTTGAAATAAGTTTCCTGGTAGTTTTCCTTAAAAAAAATAAATAAATAAAAATAATCAGGAATTTTTAAACGTTGCCATTGAGATACCTACACAATAGTTTCTTTTAGCCATAGATAGGGTAGTGTCTCTGCTCTAACAGAGAAGTATATAAAACCATGTTTTGGATTTTACAAACATACATTCGCATTAACTTGAACATTTACAAGGAATATTTCAGAACTTTTCCTTCTTAAATTCTAGTTCTATGAAATGATTATGAAGATGAGTCTTTCATGTTTAGTGTAGGAAGATTTTAGCTCTATTAATGGTGAAATTGAGGTTGATTCCAAAAGACAGGAGTTTTTCAATCTCTCGTGATTATTTCATACTTCAATTGTGCAGCTTACTTTTTTTTCCCTGATGATGGAGGTCACCTTTGAATTACATTGAAATCGAAAATCTTAACATTAGTAAATTGTTCTCCCGAGAAAAAGATTTTGTCCCCTTGAATGAGAGCTGTTCTGCCGTGCTAAGGAAAAACGCCATATGAACCTCCAGGCGTTGCCAAATTTCCTTGAATATATCACGAATTTTCGAGAAAATTTGTAAACGTCTTTCCTACAATTTCTCAGATAATGATGTTCGCAATTTCACGTAAATTTCCCGAAAAAAATTTCAAGGAAAAATATCCATAGCTTTCTTCAAAAATAAACTTTTTATCGAAAGAAATTTGGCATGAGCCTTTAGACGTTGCCAAGTTTCCTCCGATTAAAACCGAATTTATTGGGAATATTGCGAATATTATTTTCCAAAAATTTCAAACAATTTTGTACGCAATTGAATCTAAAATATCTGAAAATTTCAAGGAAAAACATGCACGAATGTTGTGAAATATACATGTTTTACACGGAGAAAAAAACTTCGTGCGTGCGACCCGAAGTTTAGGTCATATGGATCTCTGAAGTTTCCGGATTGAGCATCTGAACGATTTAGGTCCAGCTGCTCATACATCTGAAACTTCAGTTTTTACATCTGAAGTACTTCGGTTTTCATATCCGAAAAACTTCGGTTGTCACATCTAAAGTACTTCAGATGTAAGAACTGAAGTTTCAGATGTGTGATCAGAACCTCGACAGCTAGACCTAAAGTGTTCAGATGCTCAATCCGAAAACTTCAGAGATCCATATGACCTAAACTTCGGGTCCCACGCACGAGATTTTTTTCTCCGTGTATCAAGGGAAATTTGGCAACTCTCGAATGTTCACACGGCGTTTTTCCTTAGCACGGCAGTGTTGTGTTCAAGTTTCAAGTTCGATCTAATAGCCGAGGCTTACTCCAAGAGTCTCCCAACACAAACAAAAATGTTCCTTACAAAAAAAGAAACAAGTGTGTTTAAAAATTAGAAAAGAAGCTTTGCGAGAGTATTTACAAAAGAGAAAAGGTTCAGGTGTCAGGTGAGGGGTGGAGGGTTGTTATTTACTGAGTCGGGGCTCGACACCCCCACTGTTGGCAGCGGCGGCTGCGGCGGAGGCGGGATCGCCCCCCAGGGACAGGGCCTGGACGATTCGGGGGTCGGCTTTGCTCCCCTCTCGGAATTCCTCCAGTGTCAATTTGTCATCGTGGTTCTTGTCCATCTGATCGAAGATTTTGTCCACGCGTCTCTGAGGCGTGTTATCGTCGTCAGACTGCGGCTGTTGACCCTGACAAAAAAAAGAGAGGAAAAGAAGATGAACAATCGAACAAATCATACGTATTGCAGGAAAAGCAACAGCGTATCTCGGGCTTAAGTGCAGAGATGCGTATCTCGTTCTGGCCCCTTCATTTGATCCGGCGCGCCTTAACGCACAACGCGCTCTCCATAACCCTGGTAAAAATTGGCGATAAGAGCTGGGTTTCAAAATACCATAGGAATGTTTATAGCCGGCTAAAGAAGGCTATCGCCGGGCTTCACACTTACATTATATTTTCCTTAAATACATATTTTTTTTCATCAGTTAAAATGAGAATAATCCATACAGGATGTGCAAACATTTCAAAATCATGAGGTGAATAACGCTGACTCTGCCAGATTAAATATTAGAGCCTAACAGAAAGCGGTGCGGCGACGTACTGGCGCCTACAAACCTAACAGGAATACTTCACGCATTGCGCAACGCGTGAAGTATCCCTGTTAGGTTTGTAGGCGCCAATGCGCGTTTCGCGCTGGCTGCCCGCCTGCCGCACCGCAGCGTGCCGCGGCGCTTGAAGCAACTATTTCACACCAGAAGTATTGCACAGTATCATACGAAACTGAAGGCGCTTTAATATATTAGGACTGGCAGGGATCTATCAAAAGTACCGAGCTTTTCTCGCAAAATAAATCAAGATCCTACGGCCCAAAAAGAGAGCAGTGGTCCAAAAACTCACTAAGTCCTATCATCCGTAATTAGTAACGTTTAGCATACACTTTATCGCCTGGCTGTTGCTTAATCGCCATCGGCTATAAAAGGCAATAAGAAATTGTGTAGCCGGCTATAGAAGCTATTGGAAATCCTACAGCCGGCTGTAGGTCTAAGGTATTTTGGAACACAGATTCTACTGCCAATTTTTACCAGGGAATATTTTCCGCCTACAGCATGCGCAACTTCAACTTCAAGAACTAACAAAAAAACTCCACAATATTTTACTGATCGTGAGTAATCCTCCTTCTCAAGTTATTCAGTTTTACAAAATCTACAAAACTGAGTTACCTATTTTGCAGGCTTCCCGGCAAGAACGCAGATTTTTTATCGCGAGAACTTCCCGCAATAAAAATTAGCCAAGCAACTTACTTTCGAAACTCAGCAAAATAGATGCGCTGACTGAAGCCTCGCTATCCTGAGGACGTAAATTATAATTATTCGACGAAGTTTCTGATCGAAGATTGGCGGCAGGTGCTTTAACTGCTTTAGCAGCATGCATCCATCTCAATTACGTTGAGTGAAGATGCCAAGCATAACAATTTCTCAGCAGCCTTCTCATACATCGACAATTCTTAATATACAGGGTGTTCGAAAAGTCCCCTCCCCCCCTCTAACTTTTGACCTAATTGAGGTAGAGATTTGAAACTTGGAGGGTGTTCTTAGATCAAAGGGAGCTACTTTTTGACTCCCCCAAAATTTTGGGGGCCCCATTTTGGGGGGGTTACGGACCCTAACTTTTAATTTTCAAATGGGAAGACCCCCCTTGTGATACCTCGTTCGAAAGAGCATAAAAAAAGAAAATTTTTCGCGCAAACCGGAAGTCATTATCTCAAACCGTTTCAAAATGGCGGCCGGTCAAAGTTCCAAATGGCCGAAAATTGGCACCTCTGCTATTTGCACATGGATTTGCTTGAAACTCGGTATCTGGGGGTATTTTGGCACGAGAAAAACGAATTTAACGTTAGATTTTCAAAAAAACCCTAATTTTTCAAAATGGCGACCGGTTTAGGCTCAAAAAGGCCGAAAATTTGACAAACTCGATTTTTTTGCCAATGGATTCACCTGAAATTCGGTATATGGGGGTATTTTGACTCGAGAATAACGAATTCAACGTTAGATTTTTAAAAAAACCCTAATTTTTCAAAATGGCCGCCGATTAAAGTTCAAAATGGTCAACAATTGGCAACCTCGACTTTTTGCCAATAGATTCGCCTCAAACTCGGTGTTTGAGGGTATCTGGGTGGGAGACAAACGAATTCGACGTTATTTCACCGAGTTTGAGGCGAATCTATTGGCAAAAAGTCGAGGTTGCCAATTGTTGACCATTTTGAACTTTAATCGGCGGCCATTTTGAAAAATTAGGGTTTTTTTAAAAATCTAACGTTGAATTCGTTATTCTCGAGTCAAAATACCCCCATATACCGAATTTCAGGTGAATCCATTGACAAAAAAATCGAGTTTGTCAAATTTTCGGCCTTTTTGAGCCTAAACCGGTCGCCATTTTGAAAAATTAGGGTTTTTTTGAAAATCTAACGTTAAATTCGTTTTTCTCGTGCCAAAATACCCCCAGATACCGAGTTTCAAGCAAATCCATGTGCAAATAGCAGAGGTGCCAATTTTCGGCCATTTGGAACTTTGACCGGCCGCCATTTTGAAACGGTTTGAGATAATGACTTCCGGTTTGCGCGAAAAATTTTCTTTTTTTATGCTCTTTCGAACGAGGTATCACAAGGGGGGTCTTCCCATTTGAAAATTAAAAGTTAGGGTCCGTAACCCCCCCCCCAAAATGGGGCCCCCAAAATTTTGGGGGAGTCAAAAAGTAGCTCCCTTTGATCTAAGAACACCCTCCAAGTTTCAAATCTCTACCTCAATTAGGTCAAAAGTTAGAGGGGGGGAGGGGACTTTTCGAACACCCTGTATAAATTGAAAAATAGAATGAAATTGTGAATTAACCTCTGTACTAATCGCGAGGGGCGTTGGTTCATTTGAAAGGTGTTGTACTCAATGCTTCGGGAAAATTATAAATTATTTTCTGGGGTTCGACCCCGATTTTTAAATCCCTAAAAACTCATAAATTGGATGAGGGGAAGTAGGGGTTTTTTGTTTTTTGTTTTTCGGAAAAGTTTTGTTGCTACGCATCTTACTTTATTATTTGCTGTCTTTTAATCAGCTGTTTTCATTCAACAATCATCATTAAATGAGGTTACCTCCAAGACTCAACTGCTATCAACTTACATTTTTCTTTTTACGCTTTGTCATATTATCTTTTCCCGCGTTTTTTCTTTTCCAATTTCACCCCCAAATCGTGATTGGCTCCATCTTTTTCCTATTTCCAATTTTTCCTCATCAAGTCAATAACCTCCAATTTTTCTTTCTCATTTCCAATCAGAATGTTTCACGCTGTTAGTTATTTCCTTTTCAATGTGTATTAATATATTTATTGTTTCACGCTGTCAGTTATTTTCTTTTCAATGTGTATTAATATGTTTATTACTAATTTCCATTTTCTTTTCATCCTTTTTCTTCTGATTTATTTTTTTTAAATCAGTAAATGAACTTCGTTAGTTATGATTTTTTAAAAGAATAATAATTTTTAAACGTCTAATTTTAATTTTAAATTTAACAGTTGTTATGAGTGAAGTTTTCAATAACCGAAGCGGTCGTCCTCCAAAACGTGGTCGCGTTTTCCAGAATTCTTCGCATCTTCCTTTGTTGAAGCAAGAACTTAACTCTATCATTAGTAAAGAAAATCAAAGTTTCATTTCTTCATTTCGGAAGCATGAAATTGATGATCAGAACTTTGATGAAAATTTCGTTACCCAATTTTCGGTCGGTTCAATGAATATAATTTGTCATCTAAAAAAAAAAAAAAAAAAAAAAAAAAAAANAAAAAAAAAAAAAAAAAAAAAAAAAAAAAAAAAAAAAAAAAAAAAAAAAAAAAAAAGACATGTGAAAGGGAAAGGTGCACATGAAAAATAACGGGCTGCGAAGCAGCTCCGTAAGCCCCTAGTATAAAATATATGTAAAATGTAAAAATATAATAAACGATTTTTTCCCGCACATAGATCGTTAAGAGAATCATAGAAAAAAATCTCAAAATTTAGCTGGCAACATACTTCTAGGTATTCCGTGATTTGTTATTTAAACAGAATTAAATAGAAAAGAAGAATTAAAGGAAAAATGTTATAACCTTAAAAACAGTCCTCAAGTTTTGGATTGGGTACCACCTGGGAAGAGGCGACGGGGACGTCCCGTAAAGGGTTGGCGGCAGGGCGTTGACGAAGAGATGTTGCGGTGTCAGTTGCCCGATAACCTCTGGGAAGACAGGCATATGTGGCGTTTGGGTGTCGTAGAACGCCAGAGTGCGTTATAAAACGACTTTATAGGCTGTCCAAAAAGTACCGAGACTGGTTCTATAACTCAAAAATCAAGATAGCTAGAGGCTTGATCTTGGTCTTATTTGAAAGATCAACTTAATATCTATCGATTGAGACCAAAATCAAAACTTTCGGCCAAATATTTCAAAAGTTACAACACTGTTTGTAAAAAAAATATCTGGACCCCCCACCGTTTTTTATGACTATTTTCTCTTGCCGGAAACACTCTCTAAATTAATGATCAGTGCACGGTTCTTTTGCAACTAATCATGGCAAAAACTAATTGATTTGGAAACACTAGCTGTCGTCCGACTACGGGTATAAGGGTTCAAAGTCAACGGGAAAAGAATAAACCGTCGGTCAGCCACCCCCAAAAAACCAAGGAAATTTTCGGCATTTGTTGACAGTTCACAGTGTGTGCGTGGTCTACGCTGCAGATGGTGAGTGATTTTGTTTCTGTGTTCGAAATGTTTGATACCACTGCTTTATCTCTTTCCATGATGGTATCAAAAATGTCGAACACAGAAACAAAATCACTCACCATCTGCAGCGAAGACCACGCACGCACTGTGAACTGTCAACAAATGCCGAAAATTTCTCTGGTTTTTTGCGGGTGGCTGACCGACGGTTTATTCTTTTCCCGTTGACTTTGAACCCTTATACCCGTAGTCGGACGACAGCTAGTGTTTCCAAATCAATTAGTTTTTGCCATGATTAGTTGCAAAAGAACCGTGCACCGAACCAAAAGAACCGATCATTAATTTAGAGAGTGTTTCCGGCAAGAGAAAATAGTCATAAAAAACGGTAGGGGGTCCAGATATTTTTTTTTACAAACAGTGTTGTAACTTTTGAAATATTTGGTCGAAAGTTTTGATTTTGGTT